TCTATGATTCTATGATTCTAACTCAAACTACATATGAAAAAATCTAGAAATAATCGGCATCACAAGGCATGTTACAATCTTCCATAACCCAACAATTTATTTAAACTTACATCACAATGAGAATCTATTAATAAAATACATCAGTTCACACCAGTCTGCATTGCCATTTCTTAAGGGTAAGCATCTCTTTTCACTTTATATTAAAACTTTATAGAGGTAAAAACAACTGCATTGTACCTGCAGTTCTTGAAATCTACTGTAACATCAGGCAGGTTACAGAGGAACTTTCAGAGCTAATTACACTTCAGTTAACCTCACATTTTTTGGCACATCTGAATGCTTTTTATTTTCTTCTTAACATAAAATAATTCTATAGCAAGTCAGAGAATCATTGACATAAAGCATCACTATCCAATGGCAAGTGCTGCCTAAAAGCGTACAAAAATTGCATCATTTGGTTACAAAATAGATACTCTTAGTTCTTTTTCCCAACACTTAGCACTGAGGTGCCATGACTGGACAGGGCCAGGAATGGGGCCAGCCTTGCTGAGCTGTTGCCCTTGCAGCAAGGCTTTGCTTCCATAAACCCCAGAGTGACTGTTCACCAGCTGTTGATGGCTTTTGCCTTGCCGGCCAAGGGCATTGGCTATAAGGCACCCTCCAGCAGGTGCAAGGCCACCAGCAAATGTCACCGTCTTCCTTGTAGGTGATGCTGCTCTAGGGACAAAGCCACCCCGGTTCTGGGTGGTGTTCGGGAGGGGCCGTGCTTCTCCAGCCCTTGGCAGGTCAGTGGCTACAAAGGGTGCCCCAAAGCACACGGAGGGCTTGCAAGCGACTGCTCAGCCTGGATTTCTTCTGCCTGGCACCACAGCAGCTGCTTCCCCAGAAATGGAAGTGTTTTAAGCAGGGATGAACCATTAACGGTAGCGGCATGCCACGCACGTGTTTGCACGAGGGTCTGCGTGTGGGCTGCGGGTTTGGGTGATTTTTGTTGTACACCACAAACTCCGGCTGCTATGAGCTTCTAACATTATATTTAAAATAAAAAGCAGCCCGTGGTACTTGGAGCCAGGGTTAGTTTTTCCCTGGCTCCTGAGCTGCACTGTTTCAGTCAGAGTTTGGCATGTGAGCTAGTGATTGTTCTGTTTCACTGCTTGCAGCCTCCACATAGCGACATTTATTTTGTCAGACGGCTGCTACATTGGTTGTGTCCCTTCTGCTCAGTCTGCTGTGGTAGTAACAAAGAAAAACGAACAAACTGCTGCTGTTCAGGGAGACTGACACAGCAGAACACTACACGTGCTAGAGCCTTCTGGCTGCATGACAGCTGGATGGTCGCTTCAGTGGGAAATGAACGTTCATCCTCGTCATGGCAGGGTTGCATTCTGCGCACCTTTCCAAAGCCCCAAACACAAGCTCCATTTTCTTGATACAGCTTTCCTACTCATCCTTTGCTGAAGCCCATGATCTGAAATCGTTTTGGTGAGACCAGTGAGCATTCCCTAAAGCAGCTTATGGCTGCTAGGAATCATCTCTGGCTTGACCTCTCTTACAGGAAGAGAAATTAAAGCAATGACTGTAATATTTACTGTATTAGGGAAAGAAAAATGACACTGAAAATGGAACAGTTGTTGGTGGGGATGTTTGAAACTTACAAGTAAGAGAAATTCAAGGTACCCGTGGTACTCTTTGCACCTACTGACCCTGAAAGATAGCCCTGCCAAAAACCCTCCAAAAGTCAAACTCGCTCCTAGAGTCAGTTTTGGCCTCCCATTCGCAGTGAGAATTTATCCGTGCATTTGTTTCCATTTCCTATTCCACATTTGCTCTGAATACAGCTGGAGTTAATGGGAGTCCTTTGTGAGACGCCAGTGCAGGGTATGAAGCAGTGCAGAAGGAAAAGCTTTGGCCGAGTTGTTTGATACACACCGACTGGGGGAGCAGGACGGGATGGAGCTGGGACGTCTCTCCTTGTGCAGGGCAGAGAGCGCTGCTGGGGTGGGCAGACGCTGGCAGAACACCTCCACGCCGACACAGTGCAACTTCTGCTCGTTTACACGGCTGTGGAAAAGTCGCCAGCTGCTCGGACCCAGCACGTGGGTGAACCGGCAGCTGCAGCCCAGCTTCCACCCACGGCTGGAGTACAGCGCGGGTAAAAGCCAGCACGTGGCGGGTACACGCTGGCACCCGCAGCGTTTTCATGCTCTTTACAACCTTTGCAAGTTAAAGTGTCGAGGCGTGGCAAACTTACGCGGCAGTGCATTCCTTCTATTTCGTATACAAAAAAGGGCTCAAGGCTGGGAGCAAGAAGGCACAAACTTGGGAAAACATAGCTGAGGAGTTTACACAAAAGTACTATGTCATTTATTAGGCATTACTTAGCACTTATTTCACATTTTGCCCCCAAATTTCCCAAAGCAACATATATTTCCCCGCTTCCTTTCCCTTTGTCCCCTCCTTTTGGATAAAGCTGCCTGTGCTCTATAGATACAGTTGCTGAGGAATATAACGTGAACACAGATAAATACAACATACACAGCAAAACAATGGATTATAGTATCACGATAGCCAGGTAACGTGGTTGGCCTCAAGCTGCCGCAGTGCCTATGTGCTACGGGGAACCAGTTCAGACCAGCAAGCGGAGCCACTGTACAGAACAAAGCAGCGCTGGCAGCATTGGCCAGGGCGAGGGGGTGTTCTCAGGGTGCCCAGGTGGGCAGGTGGCTGTTGGTCGTGGGGATCCGCTCTCAGGAGACCCACCTGGACCCTCGGAGACGTCTTCAGCCCCGTCCGGTTCTGCGGCGGGTCCTCGGAACACCTCTGTGGTTGTTCGTTGTGCATACATGTAAAGTCACCCCCACATTTCTCTGTTAGGCTAAGTTTTCTTTATATACTTTCTTTAACTTTTACCTTTTGAAATTTTTTTTTTCTTACAACTGTTAAAAAAGTTTTATGGTAAAAATAACTCACTATATGATACATGTACCCAAAGTGGTGCGATACTTTATATAATAAAAGACGAAAATAGTCACTTTCCATAATAAAAATAAGTTCTATTTTTTGTTTATTTTACAATATACTTAATAATTCTTTTCTTCTTCTTCTTCACTCTGAAAGTAAATAGGTCCCATTTCGATACTGCTTCTGAGTTGATTAAAGTGGCAAGAGACCGGGGGATGGCTTACAAGCACTTGGAGCAGCCGCATTCCACGTGTCTCTCGAGTTCCTCCGTGAAGGTGGAGCCGTCCACGCACTGGAAGAAGTATTTCCGCCGCTTGCTGCGGAGCGGGACGCAGCACTGCCCGCCGCCGCCGCAGCCGCCCCGGCACTCCAGCCGCGGTACTTTGGAGGCCGTGGCGCACGACGTGTAGCCCTGCTGCTTACGGACCACTTCTCGAATTATCTCTCCTTGGCAGAGATTCTCTGGGAAGGCAACAGAGATGTCAACGAGAAATAAAAAACCATGGGAACTGTTTTACCAGATATTCCCCAAACATCAGCAAATGGCCCTGTACTTGTAATGGCATTCAAGGCAAACAGATGGCAAGAGAAGGCCCTTAATCTTCTCCTGCTTTGTACCTGCCATCAGAACAGAGCTGGTGTTACACAAATGTGTAATATCCGGCCCAAGGCAGAGGCCAGGCAGGCTGTGGGCTTTGATCAGCCCTTCTGGAAGTGCTTTAATGAATGCTGAGTGCTGAATCCTGCAACACTCCTGCAAAATATACATTAGTTTTACTAGGCCTGCCTCTCAGGATCAAAGGTCAGCCTGCTCCGCATGACATGAGCAATCTGGGATACCTGAAAACCTCTGTGCTGTTCTGCAGTCACTCTGCAGCAGCCAGATACGTTTTGGTGAGGCTGTGTGTGTGTATAATTTGGAACGTCTGTGGTTCATTCACAGGAAAGGCACAACCCAAATAAAAATAATACAAGCCATCTTCTTCCTTCTGTACAGGAAGGAAAAAAGGCAGACGAGATAAAGTTTCCAGGGAGCCTTTTCAGGTCAGGGCAGAAGAGATGGGCCCTCACCCTAGCAGGGAAGTCCAGCATGGTCTCTAGGATTCCCCAGGGAACCTGCCCAGCTGCATCAGAGGGAGCAAGCTGAGGATCTTCACCACCACTCCAAATGAGCAGTATCTCCTGCCTTCCAGTTCTGGCTCCTGTCACCTACAAAAGCCCTTGCTGTGCAAGGTAAGACCTCTTTTCCCAGCACTGCAGTTAACCCATCACTGCTCACCAAGGGTAAACCTCACAGCGGTCTCCCCTTTAAACTTCCCACCAGAACCCTGGGAGCAGCAAACCTTGTGGACTCAGGAGACAGAGAAGAAAAAGCTTCCCTACAGGTGTTCCCCTTTCCACATGTTGGATAAGAGCTAGCTGGTATGTGGTTCTTTTCTGCTCCCTGTCCCGCCCTGCAGAGCCTGACTCGGCTTTATCTGTTCTCTGTGCTGTTTACCCCCGACACGAGTCCCGTGGCAGAGAGGCCCAAGCCCACGGCCCCGGCGCCCAGCGCACCTCGCTCACAGTGCTCGCCGCTGTAGTTGGGGTCACACTCACAGTAGGGCTCCCCGTGCTCTGAAATCTTACACTGCCCGTGGTTGCACTTCAGAATCCTGCAGGGGTTTGAGGAATTGTTCTTCTTGTCACAGTACATGCCTGTGTAGCCCTCCATGCACTTGCAGGTGTAAGCGATGTTGGCTGCCATGCACTTACCATGCAGACACCTGGAGAAAGAGAAGCATTTAGAGCTGGCCTGTGTTAGATATGAAAGTTCCTTTTCCCAGGGATATTTGGTGTTGGCATTTCTGCCTGTTTAATTCCAGGATACTAATCCAAAACCAGCAGTTCAATGTCAAACACTCTGAAGAAACTGTGAGTTTTCAGTGAATACTGGATAACGTTCAGAGAATATATTTAGAATTTGTGATCCTAAGTGATCTCTTTGAAAAACACGAGGCTGTGGACCAACGCTTGGCATCCACACAAGGCAGCTCGCACTTAACAGCCTCAGCACGTGGAACTAAGAGCCAACAATGGAGCTGCATGCCCAGCCTTCCTCAACAGAATTACTCTGCAAATGCTATCAGGTGATGAAAAGCGGTGTGATAAATGAAGGTGCTCGTGGAAAAGCTATGCACAGGCATAGCTGTAGCACTGACGGGCAGCTGTAGCTGAATTCCCTGGCTCATGTGGTTTGCACTGCACTTTGCTATTTCTGAGGAATACCACAGGGAGGGCTGTTGATCCTTAGCGGGTTCCCTGACACCATCCCCACTGCTGGCATATGGACAGACTTGAAATGGGCTAGGGACAGGGAAGAAAGCGACACCGTCCAGCCAAGGAAAAACTGCTCAGGGCTCATAAACTTTTGCTATATCAGGTCCAACTTGACATAAACCCATGTCTTTCTCTTACTTGTATTTATTTCCTTCCTGGTGCTTTAAAATTGTTCCCTGCTAATGTTGAATCCTTGTACATCTCATTTCTAAGCTTTGAGCTAAAAAGCACAAATAATAAAAGCAGTTTCATTCACGTCAAGACATGTAAAATACCTCCATAAAGGGAGTCACAGTCTATAGAGGGCAGTATTTTCTGCCCCTCTAGCCAAAGGTGTGATTGGCTAGTAACTCTTGCTATCATCAACTACCTGTTCTTTACAGCCACATTTCCTCACTGTGATTAACCTGTGAGTGCTGGAGCAGACACCTGCCAGCACTGTACTCCCCTGCACACAAAGGGCTTGGCTTTGAGAAGACAGCTCCAAAAAGCTGATTTAATGGAAGCTGGGACAGTACACAAGCATTGAAAATACTCACAGGTACTTTCCTTAGGAAGGGAGGGTATGTTCCGGATTGCATCACCCTCCTTGGATTACAGAAGAAAGAATCCCTCATCATGTAAACATCTGGAACTTCCTTATTTTTCTCCATCCAACTACAACAACTTCATGTTGATGTTGGAAATTCAAGGGAACATTTGATTCTCTGAGCATTTGTTCACTTGAGTCTTCATACCTTTAGTCTGTAAACTGTCGGGTGCTTCTCAACACCTTTCAGGGTTCAGTACTTTGCAGAATTAGACCCAGAAGCAAGTTTAAAATGGTACCTCTGCCAAGTTAAATTCCTGCCCTTAAAAGAGTGATTATTTGCTGTCTCAATTTACCTGTCGAAAGTATGTGCTTGTGAAAAGCTCCTTCAACAGACAGCGCAAGCAAAGTAGCTTCGAAAACCAAAGTACTTCCATCTGGTTATGAAAGAGCACCGAGCTGTGCAGAGCCCCGGGCTGGGCTCTGCCTGTCGGCCCTTGCCATCAGTAAGCTACTCACCCAGTGCTCCTGGTGGAGATGTGGTTACTGAGCCTTTGAACTGCCAGTGTTTCACACTCACCCTCCCTTTGCGTGCAACTCCACAGTATCCTTTCAACTTGCTCTTTAAAGGGGTGTTTCAGAGTGGAATATTAAAGTCAGCTATTTGGGAAATTTAAAACTGTTCACATTGGAGTGCAGGATGGTCTTGAGGGAATCAGTGTGAATGCTGGCTCCAATGCTGCTGTGAGCATATCCCTAAAACGTGTACCCCCCACTGCCAGGCAGCTCCGCTCCAGGTGAGTGCAGACGCTCACCACCTCGGAGGCAGAGCCACACCCCTTAACAGGAGTTTTTGTGTTTTAATGTGTAAAGTCTCAGCTGCAAGTACGCCCTGCAGCATTAACACCTTGGCTCCTCCAGGACAAAGAGCTCCCTTGAGTGTGAGCAACATCAGAACACAAAGTGGAAGCTGGGAGCTGCCATGGGTGCTGACTCACAACTGTCAGTCATTTCATGTGGGAACCCAGCACCTCCAGAAATAATCAGATGTGGTTTTACAAGATGAAATGTGAAATATGCATTAGCTGTAAAGCTTCCACCCTCCCATCAGCGTTTGTTCGAGCTTACTTGTGGTTAAGACACGGGTCTCCAATTTCCTGGTCACACAGGGGGCCGGTCCAGCCCGGGTGACATTCACAAATCACACTTGTTTTCTCTAGGGAGCGGCAAATCCCGTGCTTGCAGATGTTACAGGATTTGCAGCCAGGAAGGACTCCTAGCGACTGCTGTGGTAAATCCTTGAAATCCTGCAGCTCGTTATTGATGCGGACGTCGTGAATACAGCCATGAAAACCATTTGGTGTCTTATCTGCACCCTGCCGCAGTGAAGATAATCCAGTAGAGGTCGGGATCCCTTCAGATAAAAACAAAAAAGGGAAGGTTTACTCACAGATACAACCATCGTCCATAAATTATAATTGCTAATTTTCTTTTGTCACAGCCCTAATCTTTAAGGAATTAATTCACACAGGATCTTCATAAAGTACCACAGCCTCATTGTCCTTATTCTGGCAATGGAAAGAAACAAAAATAAAATCACTTTCCCAAGCTTACGTGTGAAGAATGTGACAAAGAAAAAAAAAAAGCCTATTTTATTTTGCCAGTGGCCATGAGTTTCTGTTCTTAGATAATGCTCCTTCTGTCTATAAGTTAATAGCAACTATCCTTCTGGAAGGTTGAAGAATGTCTTTACTTGCCCGCAGGTAGCTACCACCTCCGGGACGCAGCAAGATGGCTGGACATTACTGGGTCACAGCATTAAGACAGGGAGTGGTGAGAGTGCACCCCATTGAAACTGGTGTGGGGGAGCTCTAGAGGACAGGGGACAGCACTCTGGGAGGCCAGGCCAGGTCTTTGGGGCCAGTCCCCTCCACCTTTTTCCAGTGCTGGGAAGAGTTCACAGGCTCAGGCAGCCAGCAGATTGTGCTGAGGGTTGTTAGCCCTCCCCACTGAGATCCACTTGGGCTGGACAGCAGCATTAGCGTGGGCAAGGGCCTCCATATGCAACCATGTAAGGCCTCTGAATTTGCTGCCTGTAGCTCACTCCACTGTTAAAGGTCTTAAATCAAACCCAGCCTCTTTGTTCAATTGTGCGTTAGAAGGAAAGTTGCTAGACCAGGTGATGTAGGTGGAGAGATGGACAAAACTGTGGGCACGTGAAGGCTTGGGTGTGTTGAAGCTTAGTGTAGGTTAGGAACAATGTTTGGGGTAATTTAATCAATGACTTTGTTTAACCAGTCTGCCAGGGAAGGGCAGCTGGCACCCATGGGAATGCTACACATGGAGAGGTGGCACATGCAGAACAGTGAGGACTTAGAAAGAAGAAAGAATTTTAAGGGGCAGTAAGAAGTCTCCACTGAGCCCATGGCTTCTGGTACCCAACAGTCTCTCATTTCAGGTGTCAGATTTGTCCTGTGGATGCGTTTCTGGGGGTATCTTTTGAGAATTAGTATTGATTCACAATGCTCATCCATTAACAAAACTTTTCCACGTGATTGCTTCCCAAGTTTCCTGCACATAAATTGCTGTGGGGTTGGTATCTTTTATGCCGTGCTGGAGGGAGAACTTGTGATGGCCTCACCAGCAGATTCTCTTTGATGCGTAACGTTCCTTAATAGCGTGTGACATCCTTAATGGGAGCCAATTATAAAAGTTCAGTTCTGTACAATGCAAGATCAGCCAGTTTTCTGATTTACAAGGGCAATATTCAGGGTTCTTTTAGAAAAGTGTTATTAAAGGGAATTATTTACAAAAGGCTTGACCAGCACCAAGTGCAATTGGTACGAGTTTGTACTGTTGGCTTCAATGATCTCATTAGAAAAAGCCCAAAGACTTTCTGAGCCTATTATTGTTCTGCTGACTTTTGTTTTTCAGAACAGGCTGACTAGAAATTCAAGAACTCTGTGTCACCAAAAGGGAGAGATTTCAACATTCATTCCAGCATAGAGCTGGAGGGAGTTCTGGCAAAAACAAATCAATTGAGCAGAACACAGCTTTCATTCTGTCCCTCATATCCAGACACCTCATCAGTGGGATACTCATTATTCTGGGAATCTGTTCTCCACCCCACTTGGCCCCTAATTTCCCCCTAATCATTACTGAATGTGAAAAAAACTTCTTAAGATTGGTTAATTCTCATATCTTTCTAATACTGAAGCTCTGGCTTCAGTTTCCAATAAGAAAACTATTAGCCGAGAAGTTCTTAGTCAGCTTGTGTGTTAATATGGTTTGGAGGTTTTAATCTTCTTCTCCTTTCCCCCCAGATTTTTAGACCTCTGTAAAATCTCTAGCAGAAATATTGCTCATGTAAGGTATATTTAAACCTACTGACTATTGCCTGGCTTTTTTGCCGTGACTGTTTGTGATTATTTCATTGTATTCTTCATTGTATCTTGGTGGCAGGCAGTTCTGAAAGCTTTAGGAATGACAAAGTGATCGTTCTGGCCATGCCTGTGTAACAGAGAAACTGCCCGTGCTGGGCCGAGGTGAACGCCCCGGTCTGGTGCGTGGGCTCCTGCTGGCCCTGCCTTGGGCTGCTAGTGGGCTATGGAGCAGGACAGCACCGCTGTGGTTTCCAGGCCCTCTGCTCAGGGGAACAAACTCTGGCAGAGGGGGAAGGCAAACTGCTAGTTCTTCTCCATAGGAAGATGTCTTGCTCCTGAGAAGACATGTTAAAATCTCAAAGTCCAGAGCGACTCACTGTACCTCCAATGTAGAGGGGTGTGTTGAGGCTGGCAGATGACTGTTTCTGGAGTTTTCCTAGACTCTTGGGAGTCCCCTTGTCCACCACTAGGTTCAGAGTTTGATTCAGCATCATGAGTTCCACGCTATGAAATTGTCCATCATTTACTGTTTCCACACTAAAAGAAAGAGGAAAAAAAAAAAAAAAAAAGAAGATGGTGCTATCAATGAACAGCCTCTGCTTCTGTGACATCCTGTGTCCTGGTATGACACTTTGCAAGGCACAGCTCCCATTGTGTGCTCCTTTACGGTCACTGTGTTCTCAGTGTTTCCTCTAGCGTGAGCTTCTGAGGCACAAATCCAAACTCTGCAAATGCCTGTGCAGGCAGTGTCCACACATATATGACCCCTGAGAGGACAGCTCATCAGGACAGGAGCTACTGTAATTACTGTAAAAATACTGTAACTGCCTCCCAGGGCAGAAAAGCAAGGGTCTAGCTATATGATATAGTGCCTTTGGTAAAAAAACTACTTGAATTCCCCTCTTCTGTGCTCAGCCACAGCTTGCTGCCCCTCTGTCACTGCTTGGTGGCCACGTTGCAAGCTGCATCTCTGAAATGATGTTATCCTGTGTGGTCAACTTAAACTTGGATTATTTCACAGGGGCAGGGAGGGACAGTGGTTTGGGCAAGAAACAGTAGGGGCCTCTGAAACCAGCATTTCCTCACAGCTTTAGAGTCTTGTAACTGCATTCTGAGGCATAAAGATGGCTGAGATGAAATTACTAGGTGGATAGAT